CACAGATGCTGCCAGACCTGCTGAGCTTTTCCAGCAACTTCTGTTTTTGTTCCAGTATATTGATGTGTTTGTGTGAAATGTGGTATTCTCGTGTTTGTCCTGATGAGTGTAAGGTGTAAAACCTCTGCAACATGTCTCTCCTTTCAGCTTCAGTCAAGTTCCAGACTGCTGAGTGACAGTGCAAGCCTAGGCAAAAAAGGAGGTGACCATTTAGCCCCTGGTATCATGCAACAAATTTCCTTTATGTTTCTGAATCTACATTCCTTACGTAAATTAATAGTTGCATCAGCCCTAACACCATTTTCTGGGACACTCCATTCAATATGACACTTCATCCAGTACTATTCCCTAACTATTACCCAGTATTTCCTTCCTTTTAGCTAATTCATTAACCAACTTCAAGTTTTAGCTCGGATAGTCACTGCCATGAACTTCTGTAGCAGGATTCACTCCACACTCCCTAAATGTGTCTGGCATTCAATGCGCACTGCATTGCACAGCAATGTTACCGACTATACAACTAGAGGATATTCAGGAATTGAAGGCAGTGCTGAGCAGTTCAACGAGATAGATATCAAAAGAGAAGCTGTGACCCACAGACTCAGAAAGGGAGGTTTCAGAGGAAGCCTGATAGAAGCAGGTAAGGCAAAGGAAGCAAATGAACATGAAAGCGCACACATTTGGTAATGTCTGGGCATGAGCACTGCCGAACACTGACGCAGGATTAGAAGCAAAAGATTTTCTTACACCAATAACAGCTGGATGAGGATGCCAGGAACAGTGATTAAAATCACACAGAATGGAATGAGGACCCTTTGGCTCATTATACCTGCACCAGCTCTTTACAAAACCCATCCATTTGCTGCATTCCCTCTGCCCTTCCCCCAACTGGCCTGTAAATATTTCCTTATAAAGTATTATCTAATTCCCTTTTGAAAGTTATTTCTGAATCAGCTACCACTATCGTTTTAGGCAGTGCATAGCTAGACCACGACAACAGGCTGCACTAAGAAATTTGCCTCATTGTCCTGTCTGGTTCTTTTGCCAATCATCTTTAATTCAAGACATTATGGCTCCAGTTTATTCCCCATAATGTAACCCTTTAAACATCGATAATCTCGTCAACTGGATTTTTACTCTTGTGGCAAAGAAATTGACAGAATCTCATACTAAGGAGTTCAGATATTTAGAAAGGAAACAAAAGATGGTCTTAGAATGATAGTAAATCCTGTAGTTGATGTATCCAGATGTTGACTGCTGGCCTATAACAAGTCATTATATTAATACAGCATTCCTTAAACAAAGAATCACTGTAAGGCACTTCATTCAGAGACAAAAGGAAGACAGATGCCAGACCACAAAGTGCAAATTGACCATAATCTTCATGCTTTGCTTTGATTAACTTCATCTCCTGAAAATACTTCACATACCGTTCTGCTTGATTGCTGCACCTTTGAATAAAGCTCTGTTTGCTATGATTTTTTTCTGTTCTTGAAAATATTTTTAGGTTTGCAATTTTCTGAGGTATTTGTGCTTGTTTTGCAGCAGAAAGAAACTTATGAACCTTTCTGTAAAGTTCCTGTGATCACATCTAACAAAGAGGAGCAGAGGTTGATAGCGACGTCTAATAAGGTTAGAACAATTGGGTTGCTTGCCACTTATGATGCTTTTTCTCTTTGAATGTTCAAGATTAAGCATGTAAGCCCTGTCTTTTATTTTTCTGTATCCAATGTTGGTATTAATTCATGCCTGGATGATGAGACAACAAAGCTCAACTCCATGGCGACTGGGCTACCAATGTACTAAAGCCAAGCTTGTCCTTTAGCTCCATATGAAATGCTTCCCCTTCCAACCTGAACACCGGAATGGAACTGCTAATGTGAGCCAGTCACTGGCCTGTTGTGCGGTATTTCCCCACACTTTGAGGGACAGAATGAAATACTCCATTTGCCTGGATGGATTCGGCTCCAACCAAACTCAGGAACTCAACAGCTTAGCCTGCCTGATGGCAGACTGTCCATCGCCTTCAACGTTCATTCCCTTCATAGGGGATGATGAATAGCAGCGGTGTGTTACCATCCACTGCCCAGTGCACTGCAGCAACTCACTGAGGTTCTTCTGACAGCACTTTCTGAACCCACAACCTGTACCAGCTAGAACGACATGGACAGAAAATACCTGCAAGTTCCCTTCCAGGCAATTCACCATCCTGACTTGGAAAGATATTGCTGTTCTTTCAGTGTGGCTGGGTCAAAATCCTGGAACTCCCTCACTCAACACCCTGCACCCTAAGGACAGCAGTTCAGGAATGTGGCCCTCCTTCACGAATTTGAGGGCAATTAGGAAAGGGCGATTAAAAACTGCTTGAGGCAGCAGCCCTATATCCCGTGAGCAAATTTTAAAAAAAAGCTTCCTTGCGGAGCTAGATTCAGACTGAGCACATTTATTTTGTGTTGACTCCATAACGCCACCAGAGAGAGATTGTGCTGTTGTAATCAGAGTGACTAGTTTGAAACCACGTAGCAGATGTACAAGGCTCTTGTTGATGAGTTGTCACTCACGCGTTGAAGTAACAACCAGCAAAAATATTCTTTTCTCTTTGTAGCCTGCAGTTAAGCTGTTGTACAACAGGAGCAACAACAAATACTCCTACACCAGGTAAGCTAAAGACCATCCAATCAGTGCCAAATTGGTACACAAAATTTTAAAATACAAAGCTCTCATGACCGCCTAATGGCTGGAATTTGAAGCTGTAGATTAAAAGACCCCAGTGCTCTGTGTGTATCTGTGTCTGTGTGTATCTGTGTCTGTGTGTGTGTGTCTGTGTGTGTACATTAGTGTGGGTGATGTAGTTGGTTTTAATAACCTGAAAATGGAGAGGATAATCTACTGGTCTTGGCTCGCCTTCCTGGATTATTATCCAGTGATGACTACTCCAGACAGGGCACACAATCAGACATTAAATGAGGACATGGGTGTAGAATTTACATGGAACCTTTAAAGTAAAACGTCCCAAGAATTTGATATCGGAATACCAAGTTCAGAATCGGGACATGTGACTGAAAGCTTGGTCACAGAGTTAGCATTTTGAGAAGCGTGAGGTAGAGGAGTGCAGAGATTTAGAGCCAGCAGTTTCAAGGTCTTGGGGCAGACCCATGCCCTCACCTATGGTACAGCCATAAAAATCAGGGTGTGCATCAGAATAGAATTGGAGAAAGTGGGGCTGCGGGGCTTACACCATTGGTAGCTTGCCAGAGCATTCGGTCTGCAGTGAGGAGTGAGATCCCAGAGGGTTTCTCCAAGTTACCATCGACCATGTCTAAAGCAGTACATCAGCAAGGATGGATGTCTTTTTGGGAACAGGAGGTGGTGGCTCAGTTGGAGCAGCACCCCAGTGGAGTGCTTTGTGGTGCTGTTTTGCACTTAAAGTTTCCCTGCTAATCCTCGACACTTTCCCAGACAGAATGAGGTAATACTGAAGAATTAGTTATTCCTTGCACACCTTCAGCGAACTGGCTTGGTGAGAGCAAACCATCTAGCTGGGAAAGTATGTATTCTCTACACAGGAACAGAGTCCGTACAAAAATAAAGCAAACGTCTATTGTGATGATAAATAGCAACAGAGATCTACAGCACAGAGAGAGGTCCTTTGGCCCATCACATCCACACCAATCAAAAACAACCACCTAATTATTCTAATCCCATTTTCCAGCACTTGGCCCATAGCCTTGTATGCCTTGCCATCATGAGTGCACATCTAAATATTTCTTCAATATCCCACCCTTATAGGCAGTGAGTCCCAGATTCCCACCACTCTCTGGATTGAAAAGTTTATTTCCTAATATCTTTTCCAAACCTCCTGCCCATTACCTTAAATCTATGTCCCTCGAACCAACCCCCCACCTTGTCATTGATCTTTCCACCAAAAGGAAAAGTTCCTTCCTGTCTACCCTGTCCGTGCCCCTCATAATTCTATACTTCTCCGTCATGTCCCCTCTTCATCTCCTGTGCTCTGAGGAAAACAATCCCAGTCTGTCCAATCTCTCCATGACTGAAACTCTCAAACCTAAGCAGCATCCTGGTAAATCTCCTCTGCACTCTCTCCATTGCTATCACATCCCTCCTATAATGTGAACTGCACACAGTACTCTAGTTTTGGCCTAACCAACATTTATACAATTCCAACATTACCTCTCTGCTCTTAAACTATGCCTTGACAAATAAGGGCACGTCTGCCATAAATCGTCTTAAACATTTTATCCACACGTCCTGATAGCTTAAGGGACAGTGGACATGCCCACCAAGGTCCCTCTGATCCTCAGTGCTTCCCATGATCCTACGCTCCATCATGTATTCCCTTGCTATTAGATTACTGGAGACAGAATTCTTTCAACTCAGCTCCAGTAATCAGCTACAGTTCATTGAAGTAACATGTTTGGTATAATGCAATAACCTAAGCATTTAATAGTAGCATTATCAAAGAAAATTTAACACCTAGTCTCACAAGTTATTAGGACAGATGGTCAAAAACAAAAAAAACGCTTTAGGGAGCATCCTAAAGTTAGAAATGGAGGCAGAGACATTTAAGAAACTAATTAGAAAATGTAGAAACATTTATCTAACACCTTTCATAAACCGTGACTGTCCCAAAGGCTTGAAATTCAGATGCAATTTCATATTTGTAGGGAAATGAGACATTGTTGTTGACTGTTCACCATAACATCTCACTGGGGCTGGACCCTTTATATGAAGAGGTGAAAAGCAGAATTCAAATAGCCTGACCAATCCGTTTCAAATTGCCATGCGTCCAGTTGAAACTGTCTCTTATACTTTCAGCAACTCGGATGATAATATGCTGAAGAACATCGAGCTGTTTGACAAGCTGTCACTGCGATTTAATGGGAGAGTCCTTTTCATAAAGGACGTCCTTGGCGATGAAATCTGCTGCTGGTCCTTTTATGGGCAGGGCCGGAAGATTGCAGAGGTGTGCTGCACCTCCATTGTATACGCAACAGAGAAAAAACAGACCAAGGTGGGTTTTAACTTGGATGGTGATCCATCTTATGGACCCCTGCTGTTTTTGTGACCAAAGTACACGTTCTTGTGAGACTGGCATTAAAACCACACCTTTCGCAACCATCAGACATTTCCAAGTTCTTTACAGACAGTTTAGTCCCTTTGAACAGCCACCACTGTTACAATGTTGGAACCATAGCAGCCAATTGCACACAGTAGGCTCCTGCTTGCAGCTATGTGACAATGACCAGATTTATCTGCTTTTCGCAATGTTAATTGATGGACAAACCTTGGCCAGAACATCTGATATAACTTGCCTACTCTTATTTGAACTCATGCCATGGGGTGTTTTAAATCCACCTTAGCAGGCAGCTAGTTAGTTCAAAACCTTATCTGAAAGATGGCACTTTTAAAAATTGTAGCAAGCTTTAAAAATATACTGCCCCTGAAAACTGGCCTTGATTTTGATGCTGTATTCCTGGAATGGCCCTTGTACGCCTAACTTTCTGACTCCGATGAATGTGCTGAGTCCCAATTGATGTTAGAATAAAGTCAGCAAGGGAAGGAGAGACGCAGCAGGTCTACCAGCATCTTTTTTTTCCCTTCATGTGTGGGATGTGGGCGTCTCTGGCTGGGCCAGCATTTATTGCTCATCCCTAGTTGCACTTGAGAAGCTGGTGGTGAGCTGCCTTTTTGAACAGCTGCATCTGTGGAGAGAGTCAGAGGAACAGAGTTAATCTTTGAGCCCAACATGACTCTTCTACAGAACTGTAAACAAATGGACCTGGTTAATTGCCCTGCAGTAAAACTATATTAATCTTTATCTCTAGTATTTTAATCTGAGCATTTTCAGAATGGTGAGGAACAATATTGTAATAAACCATTCAGGATGCACAAGGTAATTGCCGTTTTCAGTGGTAAACAAAATGGTGTAATGGCCAGAATTTATATTGTTAATATTATATATCAACACTTCAGGGCACTTCTCAGTTGCTGATGCCCTTTCTGAAGGGCAATCTCTGTTGTAAAGGGTCGGGGAGAGCAAAGAGCAAGCTTGCACAGCTCAAAGTTCAGTGATGTTGATGGAGGGATAAATATTGGTCTGAAAACAGAAGTCTCTCCCTTCCTTCCAGCAGCTGTACAGGATCTTTTTTTTTTAATCCAGCTGAGGGGGAAAGTGGGATCTTGACTTTTGTCTCGTTCAAAACTTCTGACAGAGCAGCACTTGTCAGTAGGGCTTTGAGGTGTCAGCCGAGATTGATGTACTCAGATGGGGCTCGAGTCTGTGACCATGACTCCAAGCTGGCAGTGCTGCTGTTCACTAAGGCACAACCATGCTCCACGTAGACTGTTATTAATTTTGATCACCCACGTTGTCAGCAATGGAGTGCGACTAGCTTTTTGTTTTCTTAAAGCAAGATGTCGTTAAGTAAAATCGGTATGACTATGGATATTTGTGAAATAGAGTGTAGTGGTCTAACTGCAAGGAGCTGATCCCATTAAACATGGGAGCATGCGAAGTGCAGCAATAAAGCTTGAATAGGTCTATCATGTGAACACAGATTCCATAATATCTTGTAATTACTCTGAGATCTATCATCGTCTCATGATAGCAACTGAACTGAAGGATTTCATTAAGTCTATTTTTAAATCTTCAATAGAAAATAAGACCATTTCTGTGTATTGTTAATGGCCACTGTTGTTAAAAATACATGTTGATTTTTAACCACTATTTAAAAGTGCTTACCAACTCTGAATGGGTGGGGAGAGGCGGACAGCACAGACTCACGTGACTTCGTTGATTTGTACATTCCATGCCTTAATGATGTTGTTATCAGTCATCTCCCCAGCAAAGTGCAAGATGAGTTCAGTACTGTTTGAAACTCGCTGTCACTCTGACACTGTCCTTGCTGGCTTCGGTTATCTCACACACACAGGCTCTTCTCTTGCCTACCACTGCAGTCTTCTCAGATGATGAAACCCTCAGTCTTTCTTCTCCAGTCTGTTGCACCTCCATCCACATCACTGTTGCTACCAGCACGCTGTGCCCCACACTATGATAAACCTCCACAATCTCTTTGTTTTGCTACCTGTTCCCCCATCATCATCACCACCTCAGTAACCTTCTTAAAGTTCTCTTGTATTTCCTGCGCAGTGTCCACTGTGAACTATCGTAGTACAGTATGATACTATGTAACATGGAAGAGTCATGGAGTTACACAACGTGGAAACAGATCGTTCGGTCCAAATTGTCCGTGCTAAACAGATATCCGAAATTAATCTAGTCCCATTCGCCAGCATTTAGCCCGTATCACTTTAAACCCTTTCTATTCATGTACCCATCTAGATGCCTTTTAAATGTTATATTTGTACCAGACTCCACCACTTCCTCTGGCAGTTCATTCCATACACACGTGCACTAAGCATGAATCACAGAACTGTTACAGTGCAGAAGAAGGGCATTTGACACATACGGTGAACATTGGAATGGTCTCCATACACCCCTATGGACTGCAGTAATTCAAGTAGGCAGCTCACCCCCTTCTGCAGGGCGCTTAGGGTTGGGTAATAATTGCGCTGCAGCCAGCAACACTGCATCTCGTGATGAAATTTTAAAAATCTATTAACGTAATTTACTTCTCACACCTCCTCTTCTCCCTGCTGCTCCACTACCACACCAACCTTCAATTTTGTGTAATTAATGTGACTCATGATCTAGACTGGTTCATAATCTACCTCCGTAGCTTCTGGGAATTCGTTGCTGGGACATCCATCAGAGGAGGGTTCCTTCAAGTGCTGTACACAGGGAATTTAGTATGAGTTCCTGTCCTGTCACAGTGTTACAGTCTCTTACACGTCTAATTTACTGCGTCACCTCACATGTTAAATTATACTAATTCATCATTAAAGCTCTGTAGCCTGAAACTTTATCGAGAGTTTTGTTGGCAGGTGACCAATTCTTGTACAATCAATACTGTTTACGTTGTTTCATTGTAAAATACTGTTCAGCATGATAACATGCCACATTAATCAGTGGCCCATGCACTAAGTGAGGTATCCAGAACTGGGGAAGGCAGCAAGATCACTTTAAGTAAATAGTCTACTTTTGTACAGGAAGCTCAGCTTGTTCACTGTAGGTGTGCGACAGTGGAAAAGTGATGGAGCCTGAAAGTGCTGGAATTGTGCAGCAACTCAATTATAACATCTGAAGGCAAAATCTCAGAGGTGGCCCCTTAGAGTTCCATGGAAGTGTCTGACCAAAACATCAGCTTGTCTTCCCAATTGACTCTCACGGCTGCACATTTTCCGTTCTACCTCATTTACTGTACTGTATTTGTCCTTTTTAACTTGAAGTGCAGTAAGTATGAAAGTGATATAAAACTGTCTAGATGTGCACAGAGGATCCTGCAGAAGAGCTGGAGAGTTCCCTTTGAGGAATGTTTGTCCCTCATCCAGATTTGCAAGCGGATTGTTTGGTCATTGTCTCAGAGCTGACTTTTAAACGTTTTGGGACACGAGCTGCTCATGCCGAGCACTGTATAAATATAAGTCTTCTCTATAGGTGTAAATATAAGATTTTAAGGCCCCAGTTATGGGAACTTTTTTGATGTATACCACAGTGCTCCTTATGAGCTAAGCAATAGAACATTCATTTGGGGCTTTTGTGGTGCAGTGATAGTATCCCTACCTCTGAATCAGAAAGCCTGGGCTCACATCTCAGCTTTTCCAGAGATGTGTCAAACATGTCTGCATGGGTCGATTAGAAGAAGATTCATGAATAGAAGATTTGTCTGCAGGATTTCACTAGGATGGTCATCATCCTTATTCATCATTGGGTGAAGAAAGTGAACTGAGACACTTCTGTCAGGTTGTTAGCCGCCTGTTTTCATTTCACTGCGTTTGGTGTGCAGCACTGTGAACTGTGTGGGTCGATTGACAGTCTGTCCCTTCCACAGGTTGAGTTCCCCGAAGCTCGAATCTATGAAGAGACTCTGAATATTTTACTGTACGAGACTCAGGATGGGCGTGGGCCGGATAATGCACTACTGGAGGCGACCGGAGGAGCAGCAGGTCGGTCTCACCACCTCGAGGAAGAGGAGGAACGAGATAGGATCGAACGGGTTCGGAGGATTCACATCAAGCGCCCAGATGACCGATCGCACCTCCATCAGTGAGGGGAACACCTCGGTTTCTGTCTGTCTGAGCCTCAGTATCAGTCCAACTCTCTAACCCTTTGTCCTTACCCTCCCTGGAGAAAGTGATAGAGAAGAGAAAACTTTATCACATAATGAGGTTCCTGTAATGTTTTAGAATAGTGAATAGATTAACAGCAATCGGTAAAACTCAGCTAGGCTGAAGAACTCCTGATGTGCAGTACATGGAATGCTAAAGAATGGCCACGCTGCATAATCTGGTCTGGGTATCCCGAATGCACGGTTAGATTCTAGCTTTAAATGATGCTGTAATTATTGATGAAGAGGCAATGCACTTAAATTGTACAGAATGTGTTCAACGATTACTCTTCACAGAATATGTAACTGAGCAGTTAATTTATTTTCATTGCTTTTCCAAAAGTAACTCTTTTAATCTTGTGGAACACAGATCAGAATTGACTGAAACAGTGGAGAGGCACAGCAGGTTAATCAGTACCTAAAAGAAAGGTTTAACATTTGTTGAACAGTATCTGATACCTGTCCTTTTGAAAGGTGCTGGCCGTGCCTGTGTGTTTCCATCTTTGGGCACTGCTACTTAAGAAAAGTAGCCTTTCTTTTTTGATGTTAAGTTACAGATATCACTAAGCAACTTTAGTTTCCTTCCGTCCTATCAAAGAAGAATTAGGGTTTTTTTCATAGACTTGGCTTTTGTGTTTTAGACACGGACATCCTGATTTTTAACTAGGAGGTCCTTCTGACACTTGCATTTCCTTACAGCCCTGGAGGGCTGTAAATTTGTTGCTTTTCTTGCTAAGATTTGGATGATACTATAATTGATTTTCTCAGTCTTCCTTGAAGATCAAAAGAAAAGACTTTTTTTTTAATCTTTGCCCCAAAGCCCACTCATGATTGACTTGTAGCACTCCACTCCCTTCCCATTGTTTACCTCTGGCCTGTTCCAGATTCAGCTTGTTTTCACACAGTATGTCAGTTTGACCCATCAGCTACTGCTTGGTCATTATTGGCAAGGAGTTTATTGAGGTGTTTTTAAATCGTGATGGATGATGGAAGGGCTGACTATTATCATATGCCTACAATGTGCACAAGCTCACAAGGATGTACTTGTGCTGCATGGTATAATCTTTGGACCATTTGGATTTGTTTTGACACTTCTATACCTGTGGCCATCCTTCGTTGTGAACTGATATCAATTGGAACAGTAGCTATCTACATCATTCCTACTTTCAAATGTGTGTCAGATTTCTGCCAAGCACTGAGTTTCTCTTCCTGATCAAAACAGGTTACAGAACAGTGTAATGCTTTGAATGATCATTTCTTTTGGCCAAAGTTCGACTGTTTATGGAGTTGACACTTATGTTAAATATTCCCTTCCTTAACGGCATCCTGTCGCTCTCTATCCCACCTCGCCACACTTCCCCCGACCCTTAAATCTGGTTATTTTCTTGCATTTGGAGCACACCCTGCAATTTGGATACTATTGGTGTGGAGTTTGAAGTTGGATAATGGGCTGAAGATAGTGCCTGCACTGTACTACAGCATAAATGTGGGTGATGCTGTGCCGAACCATGCCAGAGGCACTCTATTGAATCAGCTAAAGGAACTTACTCTGGAGATAAGTAATAACACAGCATTGATAACTGAGAGAGGAACATTGAGGCACGAGAGTTCCTTTCTTGAATCCAAACCACGTCGCTGCTCCCACAGTTCAGCTTGTAAAATGTTAACTCTTCCTTTTTTTTGTTATTGCATCCCACGTACCATAATTAACCAGCGAAGCAAAGTGGTTGATTGAACCTAAAGTCACCCTAATAAGTGAAAACAAAAGGAAATCAGTTTGTCCTGTCAGTTGGTTTTTTAAAGAATAATGCAGTTTTACACTTTAACCGTTTGAACTGTGGGATAAGAAGGTGTTACCCAGAAAAACGATTATGTTATAGATTACCAAACCTGCAGTCTATTGTAAAGAGCCTTTTGAGATATGTACAGTGAGGTGAAGCCTGGTGATGCCCAGTCATTTAAGGTAATGAATCCAAAGCTTCTCATAACGCGTTAAAACTAAAGGTAGAATCCTGCTGATGCTGAAAATCTGAAATCAAAACAGAAAGTGCTGGAAAAACTCAGCAGCTTTGGCACCATCCCTGGAGCGAAGAGAAAGAGTTAACATTTCAAATTCACTACGACACTTCTTCAGAACTCATGCAGCCATTGTTTGTACTAAGTCCAGAATCAATACCAGGGCAGAGATGTGTGTGGGTTAGTATGAATCTACCTAATCTTTTAAGAGCATTGACCTTTAGTATAGACTTGATCCATAGTGCAAGTCTGTCATATCCAGCTGAACAGTCTTCAGGTTTACTGTTTGATTTCATTTGTGTCTGTGGTACCATTTGTTAAGCATCACGTTGTGAGGGGTCAATGGAATTTACATTTACGTGAGGCCAGTAGTTAGTCACAAAGGGATAATGGCTTGTGTTATTACCCGGCAATGTGTTGTTATGTGTTACATTTTTTTAATGAAAGCAGTTACCTCAGTGCTGACTTCTCACTGAATCGGTATTTTGATACGAAATCAAGCTTAAGCTGTAAAATGGAGGCATTTATCAATAATAATCCCTGTTCTCCTCCATTGCTGCATGCCTGCCAGTGAAGTAATGCTGGTAAACTGTAGGTGACCAATCACTGGGTTCAATGATTTACTCGAACACCAACATTTTCACTTGCTTCTCCTGAGAGGCCAAGCAACAGCTGTTTGGTAACAAAATGCTAAAAATGCAGCAAGTGTTGACATATACGTGGGACTTTGTCGTCATATAGAGCCTACCAATAATCAGAAAAATGTTACAGTCAGTTGAAAAGATTTTTAGCCAGTGAATTTTAATCAATCCCTCCTTTCTTCATTGTACAAATAGCTACTGTGTTTGTGTCTATCTGAAAAAGCTGGCTTTTCTTTTCCAGTCTCTTCAATCCTAGCCTAGTCCACCTTGAGTGCTCCACTACTACATTACTAATAAGTGAAAGTAACATCTGTGTGTTAGCTTCATTGTGACTTAACATTGAAGGGAAAACATACCTCATGCCCAGTTTTTATCTGACATGACAATAGACAGTGTTTTCTATTAACTTAAATCGATTTCTGGCTGCTAGTGATTTTAAAATGTAAATGCACCTCATCATATTGCTTTTTTTTTTGTCAGCATCATCTTTGTCGGGAATGCTGTGAATTTGAGGCCATATACCCAAGTTGACACTTCAGTGTTGGCCTGAGGTAGTGTGCTGCATTCCCTTCCTGCTTAGGGGACATTAGAAACTGCATTGGAATGCCAATAGACTTGGTAAATAAGATCAGATTAACTGAAGTGTGTTTGTGTGTAAGTCTGACTTCTAAACTTTGCATGTTGGCTTTTACCCGAGACTTTAAAACTACAGTCAGAACATCCATACATAAAATGACCAAATAATTTTATTGCCTGTTCCTACAAGATAGTGGGAAAAATATTTCCAAGTTGCCAAATGCTCAGTTAATTATTTTTTTACATTTTAAATGATGGGATTGGGGGAGGAAATGTGCAAGTTACTAGTTTTCTGATGCCTGAATTCTTACCTTGTTTAATTAGATGTGTTGCTTGAAAAGGAATGAACTGGGCTGTTGTAAAAGCTGAATCTCTGGGAGTTGGGGGTGGATGTGTGTGTGGGGTTGTGTGTGTGTGTGTGTGTGTGGGTGAGGGGGCGTGTGGGGGGGGCGCGGTGGTGTGTAGGGGAAGGTGTGGAGGTGACTGGAATGCAGCATAGCTTCCTTCCTGATTCTCCTCTGAAATGGTTCAACTCAGCACGTATCACTGCACCTTTCTGCTAGTGACCCCTGATGCAGCTGCTCTTTACTTCTTGATCTGAACGAAACCAGAAACAACTTCAAGCTGCAATCTGAGAACTTGGATGAAGGTTGTATGGATCAATTTGTTGAAGCTTACCTTTATCTCTATCTGCATAAAATTCTATTGTTCATTGTCAGTGCAAAGTTTGAAGTATTGCATCTGTAATTGGGAGATTGTAATTGATTTCGATACCAGTGGCCAGCCAGTATTTTAATTCCATCGGATTTATTCTGGGACAGGCTTTACTTCAGACCTTGAAGTCTGCTCCGGATGCCATTAACTCTCAGTTTGAGTATTACTGTGAAGCTGTAACTATATGTAACATCTGATAATTTTCACTTATTCGCAAAGTCTGTTGATTAAGAAGAACCTAATTATCAACAGCAACATTACTGATATTTGTAATTAATTGATAGATGTCAAATTTTGGTCACAGCCATGCAATGTGTAGAAGAAAATGTGCAGTGCAAGTTATTAATGAAAATAGTTTCAGCAGCATAGAAATTTGATAACACACAGGGCCACTAAGTACCAGATATGGGAAAGGGGAATTATACAGACATTAAACACTGGAAGTGAACTGCTGGACACTTTGATGCAGGCAGAATGTCAAGTCCCTAGAGCCAGGTATGTTCAGGGAAAGTTATGGCCCAGCCAGCAATCCTTAAAGGGACACTATCACCTAAAATGAGAAGATGGGCCTGCATTGAGATTATTACCAGAGGTCAGTCCTGCAGACTGACAATTAGTGATCGTGACAAGTCACCCTTTTCTTATTCCTGTTTTGACATTGGAACATCCTCATTTCCTCAGTTTGACATCTATAACTGAGTTGCCATCAATAAATAATGCAGAAGACAATCGGTAACTATCTCACTATCCAGCCACCTTTGTTCAGGTTGCAGGACAATGTATAACCCTTGTCCCTATGTCGTCTATCCCCAAAACATTTCTAAAGAAATGGTTCACCAGAGATGCTTGAGATATTATCAAAAGATAAAGGCAAGAATCTTCTGCAGCTGTTACCCTTAAAATATTTCATCTTGGTATTAGTCTGCTAATAAATCCCCTGCTGGCACCCCCGCCCAGTCTTGTATCTTCCACTCTTCACTCAGGTTCCAGTGCTATCATTTCAGTTAGTGGTTCCATTTTAGCAATCCAATCCTTGGGTCACCAAACAATCTTTGGAATGGTTTCACAGTCCTTCAAATATAATCTGCCTATTGATCACATCCAGACTGAAACAGTAACCATGATTTTCTGAAGTAAGGATAAGGTCAGCAAGAAAGCTTGAAATTGGTCCTACCTGTAAGATACTAAAAATAATGAGTTTGGGAAGATCCAAAGCATCTTTAAATTGGTGGTCGTGGTCAGAGACCACTTGGTGACTACTCTGGGTAGTGAATAGACGTACAACAGTGCAGAGGGCAGTACTCTCCAGAGGCACGTTGCTGTTGAACTAAGAGAGCTGTACTGTGCAATGCACAGTTCAGCAGGATTCCTCTTGACAGAAGTCTTAAAGCAGGTTATTGGGCTTGGTAGAGCTTTGTTCTACATCTAACTGGTGTCTCTGATCTGAGACTGGAGAATGCTTTATTCCCAAGTACTAATATCTCTCCTCTTCACAACCAAAATGTGTTTTTATAATCAGACACACTTGAGCACAACTGATTTCAAAGCAGTATTGCAGCAATCTGTGAATAGAATTGCATTTGTAAACCCAGTCTCACCAGCACAGTTATCTGTAAAGAATTTTAAATCAATTTTCGATTGTGTTCAATTAGTTGTCTGATTTTCATTTTTATAATGAGTACCAATTTAATTAGAGTTACATTCACATATTTGAACTGCCATTGATTGAATGTCATGGAAGCATATACTGTGTTGTAATCCATTTTGATTTTTATTTTTATAATATCAGTGCATTGTTTGAAAAAGTCTGTATTTTGTACAGTTATAAAACTCTGCCACTTTATTTAGCTAAATAAAAGGTAAATAAAGCTTAAACTATATTTATAAAAATCTCTTTTTGCCTGCCTACAAATGAGGATGTGTACATTTTCTGTTTATTCTGCCTGTCTATTTGTTTGACACTTTCTACTTTATATGACATCACTTCCCAATCAGTGAAAATAGATTCTGTACTTTCCTACTGCGGTACAATTTTCTTGTGCTTCAGTGTCTCTAGTTTTGGGATGAGGAAGCAGCCAATGTTTCTTATTGCTGTCCAGTGAGCCGTGCGCAAAATCTCTACAAAACCACAGAATTCTTTTCAACCCTGACACTGACACCTGCCTTCAAATCAAGGTCAGCAATAAAAAGGCAGAATTTCTATGCTTGAATATTATGCACCTCCATCCAGGCTGAGTTCACCTACGCGTTTGCTCCTTTTAATGGTCCCTGAGCCCTCCCTCATTAACTTCAACTGCATTCTTTCACAGAATGTCCGTGTCTCTGGCTAGGCCAATGTTTCTTTTCCATCTCTCTGTCACCCTGAGAAGGTGGTTGTGTGCTGTGTTTTTCAATTGCTTTGGTCTATTTGGTGCAGGTACATCACAGGAAGAAATTTCCAGGACTTTGACCCAGAGACTCTGAAGGAACAGCAAAACAGCTCCAAGTCAAGATGGTATGTGGCTTGAAACGGACTTGCGCGTGGAACTGTTGTCAAGCACCTGCCCTTGTCTTTCCAGGGAGTAGAGGTTGCAGGTTTGAATGATAATGTCAAATGCGCTTTGGTGAGTTGCTGCTGGCTACCTTCTATAACGTAGTCTGAGTGATGCATATTCTCACTCATATCTTCCCAGCATTTCGGACTCTGACCTATTCACCCCAACGTCAGTGGCAGTCTAGTTCCTTATTCGTTCATGCACTTCCGTTCAGGGAATCCCTTGTTAGCAATCTGAAGCAGAAAATGCTGGAACTACTCAGCAAGTCAGGCAGCATCGACAGTAAGAGAAAGTGTTCGCAGTTCACATCTGTGACCTTTTGTGAGAACTGGGAAATGCTGAAAATGTAATAGATTTTAAAGAAATGGATGGGGGAGGGTGAGAAGGAGAAGAAAGGAGAAGATCTGTCTTCAGATGGAAAACTGGAATAATTAACTGGCACACGGATGTGGTACAGGACCAATTAGAGCAGAACAAATAAAGAAATGGGAAGATGCCCCACAGTTCAGAGATGTGCAGGTTAGGTGGATTAGCCTGGGCAAGTGCAAGCTTATGGGGATAGGGTGGAGGAGCTGGGTCTGGCTGGGGGTGCTCTTTGGAAGGTTGGTGCAGACTTGATGGGCTGAATGGCCTCTTCCGCACTGTAAGGATTCTCTGTGTTCAGAGGAGGTGAGAATGGCAGAATGAACGGTTGCTGTCCTACAAATGAAAGCAAAAGGAGAAACAGAAACAACAGCAAAACAGAAAAGAGAATGGAAATAAAATGGAGACAGAGACCTCAGTCTGTGTTTGTTGAACCCAGTGTTGACTCCAGAAGCAGTTAGGTGCCTAACGAAAAAGACGAGGTTCTGTTCCTTATCCTCTGTTGAACTTGGTTAAGCAAAGGGATCATTCCATGGCTATTTAATGTATTTGCTCTGATGCCAACCACCACCAGCTTGTAGCTGACGTAGTTGCTGCCTCCATCCACTTTCCTTAAGTGGATCAACAGGCTGACACTGTGCTGGAGGAAAAGTACTAGTAAATCTTAGGAAAGAGAGGCTCGCATCTTAAATGAGATGTAGTTTACTGCTTGGTAGCAATCAGGTAAAAGTTGCATTAGTAAGTTAGACATTGTTATTAAGGCTGAAGATAGAGGTCCTCACTCTACAAGATCCTAAAATGCTGTGCCTTTCCCTTTTTTCTATTCATTCATGGGATAATAGTGTTGCTGGATAATCCAGCATTTTATTGCCCATCCCTAATTGCCCCGATGGCAGTTAAGAGTCACATGTAGGCCACACCAGGTAAGGATGGCAGATTTCCTTCCCTAAGGAACATTTCCCTGCCCAAATCCTTGTGATATCATCAGGCTGGGTGAAGCTTATTGCAGTCTTCAACGTTAACCCTTTCAGAACCATTAGTTATATCACACCAGTAATTCCCACTAGAAACATAGCCAAATGGACATCCAATGAAGGAAGGATCATGTTTGGACTTTGCTGGTGATACTTGATATGCCCAAATGCATCTGATGAACTTTGGTACATACCTCGAAATACCACTTGGGCAAAGGAACAAAAATAGGCAGCATCCCCATGAGGACCAAACTCAGTCAGTAATCTTTGGTTACAGAAATGGTGGAGAAAAAGCTGGCAGGAAAAGAAAGAGTGGAAGAGGGAATAACTGTTATTCTCTAGTTTGCTAAATTAATAAAACCTCGGGGAGCTGAGGATACATTTTACTGTGTCTGTTGTAATTGGTATTAACATAGGAAGGAGCCGTGACTAAGCTAGAGAATAAATTTGATATTTGCACAATCGCAATAAATTAACAGCACTATCATTCAAATTTCTGCAGGTGTCAAATGTGAATGATTGCACAACAGAAAACCGGTTCATGAATGTGTTCCTGGGTGAAAATCCATTATCTAATCTAACAAAACACAAGTGGTTAAACCTAAGCAGATTAAACAGAGAGGTGGGAGTAGGTGGGGACATTTCTTGCAGATATCCAGAGTATTAGCGGTTTTTACAGGCAATTACCAGAGTGAGTAACAAGATGAGTAAGGTCATAGTCACAGGAGAATGTATTTTAAACAGTGAAGGGTCCCAATCAGGCTTTTATTTTAACCAATGCATCTTAATCCTACAATTTAATAACTGGCTGACCATTAACTTATGACTCATGCATGCCTAACTTTTATATTTATGATCGTTTCCTGGGATCTTTCTTTTTCGATTAAATTGAAAAACCAATATTATATTTTCCAGGTAGAAAAATTGTGCTGAGGGAGTCTGAATGCTGCAGAAATATTGCACTAACTGTTCAGCTTTATACTCCCCTGATGTTTATGCTCCTCATCTCCAGTAAACTCTGAGTGACATCTGGGTACAGGACTGTTAGAAGAGAGTTTGTAAATTCCAATCCCACCATCTGTAAATTTGAATTCGACTAACTTGGATAATTAGAATCAGAAAATGCCAGTTTATCATCAAAAACCCAATTCATTCATCAATGTGAACAATTGGGAGTAGGTTCCTGTCTCCCTTTAGAGATGATTCTAGACCCCATTATGAAACTGATGCTTAGGGCGACAAGCAGAAGTAACTGTACCTTTCTTGTGTTGCTCACTTCCCAAGCTGAAATAATTGCTGAGGTGTAGTTCTTGGATCTTCCTCTTCCTACCCAACTTTCTTTTAAATGCACCAAAGAGTCATAAGCATTGCTGACTGGGCCAGTGTTTATTAGTCATCCTTAATTGCCCTGGAGGGGATGATGATGAGCCACCTTCTCAAACCACTACAGTCCTTGAGCTGAAGGTGCACCCGCAGTGCTGTTAGGAAGCTCCAGATGTCTAAGCCAGTGACACTGAGGAATGGCAACATACTTCGAAGTCAGGATGGTAGCTAGCTTGGAGGGGAACTTGGAGGTGGTCAAGTTCCCATGTGTCTGCTGCCCCTGTCTTTCTTCGTGTCAGTTTGGGCTGTGCTGTCGAAGAAACTTTGGCAAGTCCACCTTGAAGCTGATTGTAGTACAGCCTCAGTGCACTGATGGTGGAGGGCGTGATTGTTTAAGGTGCTGATGGGATCAATGGGTATATAGCCCAGAAAGGAGAGATTGCATGGCTGAGAGGAAAGAGCACAGGCTTCAACTAATTACAGCACTTTCAAAGAGCTAGCATGGACATGATGGAAGAGTGGCCTCCTTTTGTGCTGTATGATTCTGTGAAGTTCCTGTTTGTGCTAAGCTGGGTGAGTACAGTAGTAACACTAAAACCTGTCTTAGCACTGACATTAGGAAAGGAGAGAATAATTTATCCAGGATTCTAACTGCAACTCCTGCCCGCGTTTGGAATTGGATAAGGAGCAGATCAAAGTCACAGTGACACTAGCCCCTGATGGAATTACATAGTGACATACACAACCCGTGCTCACAGGTGAGATATGTCTATCGAGAGTGACCTAACTCCTTGGCCTCCCTGAAATGTGCTGGTCTTCCTGTTTTGCAGACTTGCACATTCCAAGGTCCAGGACTTTGTGAGGAGGTGATGGCCTAGTGGTATTATTGATGGACTGTTAATCCAGTGACCCAGGTAATGTTCTGGGGACACGAATTCAAGTCCTGCAACAGCAGTTGGTGGAATTTGAATTTTTTTTTAAAATCTGGAATTAGAAGTCTAATGGTGGCCATGAGTCCATTGTTGAAAGTCAGGAAAAACTCATCTGGTTCACTAGTGTCCTTTAGGGAAGGAAACTGCCATCCTTACCTGGTCTGGCCTACATGTGACTCCAGACCCACTGCACTGTGGCTGACTGTAACCTGTCCTCTGGGCAATTAGGGATGGACAATAAATGCTGCCCCAGCCAGTGCTGCCCTCATCCCATGAATGAATAAAAAAAACTGTTTCTCTCTCCACAAATGCTGCCAGACCTGCTGAGTTTCTCCAGCACTTCCTGCTTTCATTTCAGAACACCAGCATCTATAGTTCTTTGCTTTTATAATGGCTTTAATAAAAGTCTTACCCATAAGAAATAGGAACATGAGCAGAATGTTAAGCCCCTCGAGCCTGCTTTGCTATTCAATTGGATCATGGCTGATCCAACATTCCTCACATCCACTTTCCTGCCTTTTCCCTGTAACCCTTAATCGCCCGACTGATCAAGACTCGATCTCAGCTTTAAATATACACAAGGAGTCCGCCCACAGTTCCCTGTGGCAAGGAGTTCCAAAGACTGACAATCCTCAGAGAAGAAATTCCTCCTCAGCTTGGTCTTAAATTGGCGCCTCTTCGTTCTGTGCCTTACCTGTGGCTAGAGATAGTCAGCATCAAGAGCAGAACATGTTTTTTATTTCTCTCCCAGTTC